AAGGATAATATCTCTGACCCTATGATTTCTGGCCTTACAATTAATTATGATGTGATTCATGCATCCAATATTATTACCTATGATAAAGATAGTCTGGTTTTAACAAGGAAAGAGTTGGAAGAGGATTGGTTAGTTCAAAGATCTTCAAGAAAAAGGAAACTAAAGGGAGCAAGAGAACTTAGTTATATTAATCAAGAAGCTCTCAATATTTTGAAATCAGGTAAAGATGATGAGGTAGTTCCTTCTTCCTCTAGATGCAATAGAGGAAAATCCAATCTTAAAGATGTTTAATACTCTAATATGGAATATTAGAGGCATAGCTAAGTCTAGTGGCTCTTTCAAATTAAAGAGATTAATTCGTATTTATAATTTGCATTTCTTTATTATTTTGGAACCTTTGATTGCTGTTAAAAATAATGGGAAGTTCATGAGAAGGTTTGGTTCTTTTCACACTCTAGCCAATCTTAATAATAAGATTTGGCTATTTTGGAAGGACTTCATCAAGATTGATATTCTTATCAATCATGAATAGTTTTTACATTTTTGTATTCATCATAATAGTGATTCTTTCATTTGTTTCTATTGTTTATGTTGGTTGTTCTAAACAATCTCGTTTAGAACTTTGGAACCTGTTAGATGGCATTAATTCTAACTCAGAACCGTGTCTTTTGGGAGGAGATTTCAATCTGATTTCTTATGTTCTGGAGAAGAAAGGAGGAGTTGCTTCTAATCTTAATCTCATTTCCTTTTTCAACAATGCTATTATAGACGCTGGTCTTTTTTATTTGAGATTTAAAGGAACTCCCTTTACTTGGCATAGAAGAAGTACTTTTGAAAGATTAAACAAATATCTAGCTAATGTTGTTGCATCTGACATGCCCCTATTATTCTGAAAATTAGAAATTCTTATTTCAAGATCTCTTACCTGTTTCATTTTTATAAAATGTAGCTTCTTCATGGAAATTTTATGGAATTTCTTAAAAATTGTTGGAAGACTTCGGTTGTGGGTACTTCTGGGTATAAACTATGGATGCTACAAAAAAAGTTGGCTAACAGTCGTAGGAGTTGGAACTGGGAGATATTTGGGAATATAAATCTTGCTATTGAGAAACTTGAAAACAAACTTAAGTCTCTAGAAATGGATTTATCCAACCAGAGGATTGATTCGGATGTCCTATTTCAAGGACAACAGGACTTAAATAAAGCTATTTCTATGGAAGAATCTTTCCTTGCCCAAAAAGCCAATAAGACTTATTTTCTGGAAAGGGATAGAAACCTTTTGTATTTTCAGGCTTGTATTAAAAACAGAAAAAGTAATCATATTAATAAAATTTGTTGCAGTAATGGTAGCATCTTAAATAACCAAAAAGCTATTTCCAATGACGACATTACTTATTTTTCTTATATTTTTACTTCAAATGAAAGTTCTTTACAAGCAATTAATACTGCTTTGTATAGCTCGGTCTCTGGCAATTTTGGACAGAATCTAACAAGTATTCCTAGTACGTTGGAAATTAAGAAAACTCTGGAGTTTATCAAGGATGGGAAAGCAGCTGGATATGATGGGTTTACATCTGAATTTTATAATAAAGGATGGGAGATTATTCATCCTTAATTGGTTAATACAATTCAGGATTTTTGTATGGGGTTGATTTACCTTAATATTTTAAGTCTTCTACTATTGTTCTCATTCCTAAAGCTAATACTGCTTCTTCTTGGGAAATGTTTCAACCTATCGGTATTAATATTGTAATGTCTAAGATCATTTCAAAGATTGTTGTTAACAGACTGCATCCTTTCCTCCAGAATATTATATCTAATAATCAATCTACTTTTATGATGGGGAGGAATATTAGTGATAATGCTCTGGCTGTCCAGGAACTTCTTATGGATTGTGATATGAAGAGTAGAGGGGGTGATGTGATCTTCAAGCTTGACATTAAGAAAACTTTTGATACTATTCGGTGGGAGTTTATTCTGGATGTTTTGAAAGCCATTGGTTTTCCTATTCATTTCTGCACTCTAGTTCATAGAATCCTGAATAATAACTATTATTCTCAACTTATTAATGGTCAAAAATGTGGCTTCTTTAAAGCCACCAAAGGTATCAAACAAGGTGATCCTCTTTTCCCTTATATGTTTATTATTGCCTTTGATTATATCTCCAGGAGTCTTAATCACTGTTTTGCAGCTTACCCTACTTTATACTACGTTCACAAAGCAAGAATTAGTATTTCACATCTTCGCTTTGTGGATGAATTAATTGTCTTTACCAATGCTCATAAATGGTCAATTAAGAGAGTCTAGGAGATTCTTCAACATTTTCAAAAGGCTTTAAGGCTTTGCTTCAATACTTCTAAATGCTCTTATTATTGTTCTAAACATGTTTCGACTACTATAAAGAACTTGATTTCTGATGTTACTAACTGTAGAAAATCTTCCCTTCCTATTTCGTATTTGGGCTTCGAATTAAATAAGGGTCAGAAGAAGATTGCCACTTGTCTACATACGGTTGATAAAGTTAAACAGAAATTCTTATCTTGGGAGAACAAATTTCTCTCTTATGGAGGGAGAATTACTATTCTTAAGAGTATTCTATGCTCTTTGCCTCTTTATTATTTACAAGTTATGAATATGCCTATAGAGGTTATTAAGAAGCTTGAAGTAATATTTAATAAATTTATTGGGATGGTTTGGGTAAGACAAGTATTCATTGGAGGAGTTGGCATAAACTGTGTAAGCCTTGTGATAAGGGTGGTCCGGGTTTTAGGAGTCTTCGGGACTCTATAAAAATAAATTACATGAAGCTCTGGTATCATTTTCATTTGAATAACTCTTTATGAGTTTCATTGATGCATGCTAAATCTTGTGTTGAGGAACATAACTATTTCTCCTTTGAAAAGAGATTCTTTCATTTGGAAAGAAAAGTGTAAGGTTTCTAAGCTTACTGAAACTTTCTTTTGTTGGGATTTGGGTAATGGGCAGTGTTCCTTTTGGTTTGATAATTGTTTGGGACAAGGTGTGTTGCTGATCATTATGGTGGGCCATTTGATATTGATATTAAAGTTAACCAATTCTGGGCTCATAATAATTGGAGGCTGGATGAGCTGATGTAGTCTGTTAATTTTCAGGATGCTAAATTCATTGCTTCGATTCCTATCCCTAGGGATAGGAAGGATAGTTTGATTGTTAAAAAAAGGTTGGATGATTCAATTTCAAAGAGCTTTGCTGAGTCTATTTCTATTTCTCAAGGTTTGCAACTGGAGTGGATTTGGAATCCCTGGTTAAAATTGTCCATGTCTTTTTTTATATGGTGTGTTTTAAATAATCTTATTCCGACTGATGATATTATTAAGATGAAAGGGTTAAGAATCTCTTTCGTTGCATTCTTTGTAAGGACAAAGAGGAGTCCATTCTTCATCTTTTTGGCGATTGCAGTTTTATTACCGCAATATGTGAGTTACTAAAAAACTTCTTAATATTGAAATGGAACATACATTTCATTCTCTCTTTGATTTGTTTAATAGATGAAAACAGTTTGGAAAGGTATTCTTTAGCACTATCCCTTGTATGGTTATGTGGTTTGTCTGGCTTGCAAGGAATAAAGCAATTTTTAATGATGTGATGCCTGATGTACACTAGGCTATGGGTCTCATTTTCTATTATTTGTGCAAGTCTTACTTTTCTTAAATTTAAAGGAAGGTTTGGAATAAATTAGCTGGAAATATTCAGCAATTGGGAATGCAGAATATGAATGTTAGGCATACTATTTGGGTTACTTTGTGTAAACCAAATGCTCCCTATTTTAAGATTAATACTGATAGTTGTTGGAAACCTAATGCGACTAGTATGGATGGAGTATGTCGTGATTTTGTTGGTTCCCTATGTTGGTTTTCGGCCTTGACTTTTCCTAATTTTGCATTAACTGTTGAAGCTGATGCAGTAGTTTTTGGACTAATGGTTGCCAAAAAATTATTGAAATGGATTCTCTGATTTCTTTGGAAGTGTTGCGGGTGGAATAAGGAGGTGCATTGGAGTATTATGCTTCAGATGAAGAGAATTCAAGCTTTATCAGAGAATATGAATGTTATGTGGTCTCATGTTCGTAAAGACAATTCGATGGCTCATTGAGCAGCAAAGGTTGGGTATAATCTTTCGAATGCTAAAGTTTTCTTTATGTTTCTTGATGAGTTGTTGACTTTAGCCATTAAGGACCTTTATTGATCGTGTTGTTGTTTGCTTTGGGGTGTGATGTGAGTTGTATTTTTTCTTTCTTTGGGAAATAGGAACATGTTTTCTTTTCTTTGGGTGAGTTGTATAGGGTTTAGGTTGAGTTCTTTATCCCATTTTTTTATAAATTTTTCTTGTGATAATAAAATGGAGCCTTTTGCGCTCTTTAGAAAAAAAAAAGGGTGTGGTCACCAGCTACCCAGAAGAAAAGTATTTGACAAGACTTCAGCGAGGAACAATACTAAATTTGACTCATCCTCCCCTCAATTGAAAGGATGAGATCTATTTATAGCCTTTATCATAGAGGTTTCTTTTTTTATTATATGAGGATCTTAATGACCTTATAATTAAGGGAGTTCTCGTTGAACTCCTCTTATTGAAATGCTCGATTTGAATATAAATATATAAAATTTTAAATTAATTTGACCATCCAATTAATGATTTGAAGCGTACAATTGTGCTTTAATAGCTTGATTTAAACTTGCTGAAATTCAAATTAGACCAATTTTGGTATCAATGAGTTTATCTTGTCAAGACAAGCAGTTTGACTATAAACCTCTTAAAATTGAAGTTATGAATGATTTTGAAATTAAATCTAAAATATTTTTTGCTTAAAAAAATCTTGAGATTCATAGCAAATGATAAATAATTTGTTGATGACGCATAAAAAATATCTGAAAGTATATTTGATTTAATGAATGATTTAAAATAAATTTAGGTATCAATTAGATCAAAAATATAGCAGCAAATTATTTTAAAATTTTGGCCAAGATGCATTTATAACCAAAATATGATCACTAGTCCTACGATTCATAAGACTAACAACGACAGAACAAAAACAGTAATAAAAGTTCTCAACTATACATTACAAAAATGGAACAGAGCTCATGCTTCAGCTCATATAAGCAGCAGAGCAAGAATGATTAAACTATATGCGTCCAGATCGGCGAGTTCTCATACCAATAGTGGAACCAGGTAACGAGCGAGATGGTTCCGCATCCTCGGTCTCCATGATTTCATTTTTGCAGCTCCTCAGCCTCTTCCTCAGAGCAGGACCAGAAATCATTTGGCTTTGAGCTTCATCAGCTGTAAACAATTCTGCTTTCAAGTTTCTTGTCCTCTTTTTACGTGGGTAAGGAATGTTTAGGACTTCATTAATATGTAAGGAAGCCTCTATCACCTTTTCTTCTACTTCTTCATGGCAATCAGAAGGGTGCCATTCAGTGGCACAGACAGGACAAACTCTTGCAATCTGCTGCACAATTAAGGTCAGCCATTATACAAAATCACAACTTCACCAGCTCAAAAGCACCAACGAACAAAAACAAGGAAAACTTTTGGTCAGGATGTTTATCATATTCATTAATTTGCTTTGAGAATAGTGTGATAAATCTCCATTTGAACTCATCTCAAAGCAAATCCAGTAAGATTTAAACACTTTCTATCAAAAATTTGATCAGGATGCTTTCCTAGAAACAGAAGAGAGGAGTGGATACTACCTTACGCTTGAAAATTTTCGTTAGACAGTAATTGTGCATACGGATAGGGCATCCTTCCTTGGGACAATGTTCAGCCTGTTGTCTCATCCATCAGGTGAGATAACCAAGAAGTTAGAGATAAATAACAGGTGGTGAAATTAGAAAGATTAAATACGGATTGCAGCAGGAAAATCATCAATTTCGATACTAGAGATTAATCTTTTCAAAAGACCGTTATTCATCTTATTATATAAAATTAGTAGATTTTTACTGGATACACCAAGATTTGTAAATGTACTGTATGTTTCTATAAAATTCGTAATTATCAGTATAACAAGCTGATCTTACATCATTATTAATGTGATTCACTTAACTCAAATTATAGATAAATTAACTGGGCTTGCTAAGCTTATGGACTAAAGCACCCATGCCCCAAGTAACCTCCATGTTGATTCACACTTCAACTGTACATGCTTCTTAAGATGCTGCTCCCGACCACATTGGACAATTCTTGTTCACCTAAAAAATAATGACTGGGATGCCATAGAGCAATGGGGAAGGTCATGGCTAGGGTGGGGTCATTTTCATAATTAGGGAAAACTTGAGGGATAATATTTAGAAGATTTAAGGAAAAACCACTTGATTAACATTAGCCGATCAAGGTGACAGCTTCATTAGATCAAAATGTTAGAATGGAAAATAATTAATACCAAAGATTAAAATGGTATGATAAAAAAACCATATAAATAATGAAGTCAAACAGTAAAAATCAAAAAAAAAAAAAATTAAAGAACAATAAAATTGAACATGTCAGCATGTTCAAACAAAGTTCAATCATTTTTAGCAAACAAATATATGCATGCTTTCCTCCAATCATTAAAATAAAAGTTTTGGCAATCTCCATCAGTCTCTCCATAATCTTTCTAGATAGAAAATAGGCTCTAGAAAATAAAGTTTGTGTTCACTTATTTTGAGTATGAAAATGAATTTATCACTTTTGAGGAAGTTTGGAGAAGATTTATAGAATTTGAAATTAGTGTTGATATCTAACTACATTCATACCAATGATGCAATTCACAAATTCTATCATTTTTCAAAATATAATTTATAACTTCAAACAAACAAATAATCCTTTAAGAAATTAATAGAAAACATGCTTCCACAATATAATGACATTTCACATAACTAAAAATAAAGAGTCTGATATTAACTTCCGTTGTTGTCCAGTCACTTAAGGATATATTTCCCTACCCTCAAATACATCAGTGGTTGTTTGGTTTGCTAACATCCACTACGCAGTGCTATTTTATAAGCAAATATTAGATGTTTAATTTGGTAAGGTCCAATAATAACTTTATAAATGAAATTTAAATCCAATTTTGATAACACTATACAAGTTGGACAAACTTGACGAACACTAATAATTGAATTTTGAATGATATAGTTATGATGATATCTAGATAACACTAAAATTTAAATACGTTTTCATGAGGAGATTTAGGGTTAAGTATTTTAATAAATCTTGAAAAGGAACTTAAGAGATCAAGATCACAAAATAGAAACACTAAAAAAAATTTTCTTTAAATGCAAAGTCGTAAATTTAAAAATTATAAACCAAAAGATCATGCATTGATCAGATAAATCTGAAGAAATCAATAATAAATTCAAACATGTCAAAGTCAGTGAGCAATTGCAATTTATTCATCATAATTGGAATCTAATTTATATTAAATTTGAATAAAAATAGAAACACTAACAAGCTAATAACAAGGTTAGCATAAAAAATTATGCCAAAAAATTTCAACAAACTAAGAAATTTATCCTTATTTGATACAACATGTTGATCTCTCCCATAATTAGATTGTTGTAGTTAGGGCTATCAAAACGGCTAGTTGTTCATGAACAACTCCTATTCGGCTTGTTAAGAAGCTCATCTTCAACTTGTTCACTAAGTAAATAAGCAGAACACAAACCAAGATTTGTTCGTTCGTGTTCGACTCGTTTTAGCTCGAAATACTACTCATCAATTATATATATATAGCCTTAATGGCTGAAAGGCAATTAGATGTAAATTGAAAATTCATTCATAGGGAGGGCAACTCCTCTGCTGATTGGTTAGCCAAACACGCAGGGGAGGCCTGTTACGTTGGCATGTATCCTCCTGCTCTTCTCAGACGTCTCCTAAATGGGGATAATTTAAATTTGCCATATGTTCGTTTTTAGATTCTTGTGCTTCTTGGCTTTACCATTGAGGGAATCTTTTTTGTATTTCTTTTGCGGGTCTCCTAGTTTGCTTGGCAGGTTTCTTTGGTTATGCAGCAAGCCTGGTTGTGTCTCCCTGCTTTTGGTTTCTGCTTTCTGCTCTGTTTCTGTTCTCACGGCTTCCGCTGGCTGCTACTGTTTTTGGATCTCTTTGGTCTACGCTCCAGAGTCTCAAAGGTCTTTTGTTTGCTCGTGGGAGTGCTTTTGGAGAATTATTACTCGACTGAAGAATTTTTTGTACATCATTTTTCTCTTTACATGTTTAGTAATACAGGAGCACAGATTTACTTATTTTTGGGTTTTTGTTCTTTCGTTTTGGGTATACCTGTATTTTTAGAGATTTCTTTTAGTGTGCATTGTACTGTGGGGAGAGGAACCCCTAGGGGTGTGCTGCAAATGTATTTTTTTGCTTTTATAGAAGGGGATCCTCCCCCCTCCAATTTTTGTACCTTTTCTTTTAATTAACGCGTGGGGAGCCACCGTTGCCCCC